CTACTGCGAGACCATTTCAGGCTGGACATAAGGAAGAATTTCTTTACTGTCCAAGCCCCCAAGGTCTAGAACAGCCTGCCATTGGAGGTGGTTCAAGCACCTACGTTGAACACCTTCAAGAACAAATTGGATGCTTATCTTGCTGGGATCCTATGACCCCAGCTGACTTCCTGCCCTTTGGGCGGGGGGCTGGATTCGATGATCTTCTGAGGTCCCTTCCAGCCCTAATGTCTATGGAATCTATGAAACTTAGCACAGAAAAAATAATTCTGAAAATACAGTGTAATTAATTATATTTAATTATAAAAATAAAAAACCCCACATGTTCAACCTCAAGGCTCAGTCACTCTCTTATACTGTATGTGAAGATTATGAATGAATCTTTATACCCGTCTATCAGGTACTTTCCTAACCCAACAATTAACAGCTAGAATAAATCTGTTGTGTTCAGCTTAAATATCAAAATGCTTATCAAATACAACACCATTGGTTTCTCTGAGGATTCACAACCTTAACAAAAGAATCTCTAATAGGTGTTCTTTTTACGTGTGTACAATGTACATACCTCTCCCCACTCCAAATTTTTAGGTGGTAAAGGATAAAATGAAATTATATCATAGGCTATTTCTTCCATGAACCATTTAAAGCTTTTGCAGTTGTGATCTTCCCGGAACTTTTTAAGCTCAGAAATATCTCCATATGGTAGTGCTTGGGTCTCTGGACGACTGGCATAAAAATAATCTTTGTATTCATCCCACCACACTTCCACGACTCTGATGTAGTTCTGTGAAAAAACTGATCATCACTACTAAAAAAAGTTAGTTCAATTAAGTTTTTCATCCCACCAATTTAGAAATTCTTCCTGTAAAGGTATTAATGCATGCAGTTATTAAAACATACTCATAAACTGCATTCCTTAAAAGCTGATACAGTAATAGAACATTTTTTCATGTATTTTAGAAGTAAAACTGCTGAAGTAAGCAGGCTTAACAAGGGATCTAAGACATTGTTAAGTCTAAGGGACTTCTTTTCTGTTAAGAGATATCAGAGTTTGCTTTCACCTTCCACACATCCTTCTCTTAAACTCCTATTAATTCTCCAGGGGATTCTACAGATGCAACTGACTTAGATCTTGAACATTTAAATTGAGAGAGAGCTTTCATCTTCTCTTTTATATCTGGATTGGCTTGTTAATACTAATAGAAAGTATTATTATAAAAATTCTTAAAAAAAATCAGTAATAAAGGAAAAAAATTATTGAAGAAAGTAAAATGGACTATAACCATCCCACAATGTTCCTCATCTCCCTTCATGGAGCATTACCTGCTACCTAATTCTATTCATTTTCTTATATGGCACTCACTGTAGTGCCAAAGCATTTTCCATACGCATATCTGAAGCATGTGTTTTTTTCAGCATGGTAAAATATTACTATCATAGGAAAGTAGGGCTGGAAGGGACCTCTCATGAGGTCATTGAGTCCAGCCCTCTGCTCAAGGCAGGGTTATCCCTGACTAAACCACTGAAGTCAACCATCTGTCTAACTTGTTCTTGGAAATATCCAGACATGGATATTCCACAACTTCTCTAGGTAGCCTGTTCCAGTACTTGATCACCCTCATATTCTGAAAATTCCTTCTAATCTCCAATTTAAACTTCCTGTGCTGCAGCTTGAGACCATTGTTTCTACTACTGACTGCTACAGCCACAGAGAAATGGCTACCTTCTTCCTCTTTATAAAAAAATTACCCTTTAAGTATTTGAAGACTCCCACCAGTCTTCTCTTCCCCAGATTAAATTATTTTAGTAATTTCAAACCTTCCTCATATGTCATGCTTCCCAGGCCCCTAATAATTTTTGTAGCTTTCTGCTGGACTCTCCAAACTGTCCACATCCAGATATAGTGTATCTGGACTTCGGCAAGGCTTTTGACAAGATCCTGCATGACCTTCTCATAAACAAATTGGAGAAATGTTAAATAAATAAAACTACTACAAGGTAGATAGATAACTAGCTCAACAGCTGCAAGCAAAGGGTAATTATTAACAGGTCCATGTCAGAATGGCAGGAGGGTTCAAGTGGAGTCCTGCAGGGGTCTGTCTTTGGCCCGGTATGTTCAATGTGTTTATTAACGATTTGGATGCTGGCACAGAAAGCTTCTACAGCAAGTTTGCAGATGAGACAAAACTGGGGAGGACTGCAAACATGCTGGAGGATGTGAGTACCATTCAGAAGGATCTTGACAGACTGGAAAGTTGGGCTAGAGCTAACAGGATGAAGTTCAATGCAAACAAATGCAAGGTGCTACACCATGGTAGGAGTAATCAAAAACACAAATATAAAATGAGTGATACTTGGCTGGATGGCAGCTCTATGGAAGAGAACTTGGGAGATGCAATATGAGCCTGTAGTGTGACGTATCTGCACAAAAGGTGAATGCAGTTTTGGAATGCATCCATAGAAGCATTAGGTACAAGCCAGAGGAGGTAATAGTGCATCTCTACTTGGCACTGGTTACTCCTCATCTGGAATAGTGTGTGCAGTTCTGGGCTCCACATTTTAAAAAGGACATGGAGAAGCTAGAGAGGGTCCAGAGGTGGAGAGCAAAAATGAAAAGGGCTTGGAAAACAAGTCACATGAGAAGAGACTGTAGGAGCCAGGCATGTTCAGCTTGCATAAGAAATGCTTAAAACTGCACAATAGCAGTTTTCAAATACCTGGAGGGCTGCCATAAAGAAGAGGGAAAACACCTTTTCTCTCTTGCTGCACAAAGGAGGACACAAACCAACGTCTTGAAGTTGCAGCAACAGTAGTTTAGACTGGATATCCAGAAAAACCTTTTCACTGTTAGAACAGTGAGGCAGTGAAACAGATTGCCTAGGCAAGTTGTGGAATCTCCATCACTGGAGGTGTTCAAGAAGAGGTTGGACAGCCACTGGTTAGGGATGACCTAGGTGTAGCTATGCCTGTTTTCTACCACGGGCATCTTCCATGCTTCAGCTCT